ATGCAGAGACATGAAGTACATTAATACTTTCTGATGCTGCTTTATGATGAAGGAGGTGATAAAATTCATTTGTTGGCACAAAAGTAAATGACGCTGACCATAGAGATAATGTATAATGTTTATGTAAGCCTTTTTATATGCAGTATCAGTATTTTACACTAGGTGGCATTCCTGGTACATATAACAAACTTTTTCAAATATTGTATGACCATGATCAGTTACATTTATGTCCTCCTGGGAAACAGGTATATTTTGCCAAGTTATCTTCTACTGTTGGTTTCCTGGCTCAGCTATTTCATTAGGAGGTCATTGTAATTGCTGCTGACTATATTTTCTTTTGTGTATTAGATTACAGTTCCATTTTACCTGGGCTGTGTGTAGAGCCTTGAAACCAAGTGTGGCTTATAAGTTTTAAAAATAAATAAATAGTAAATTGACACAGTTTCAATTGGGAACACTGGTTTTAAGAAATAATGGCTTGTTACTTTCTCCTCCTTCCTGTCTACAGTAGGGTTATGGTTATGTACCTGCATGACACCCGTTGTCATGGATGAAATGTTTTGACAACTATTTTTAGAATGAATGCTTTTTATGCTATTCAATACAGCTAATGCAACCAGCAAAGCATAACTTGTTTCATTGTTTCAATCTATGTTCAAAATAAACATGCCATTCTATACAACCTTTAGTTTTCAGTAAACTCTGCAGATTTAAATGGGATTTTTAATCAGTTTGTTTTTTGCTTTCTAGGGCTTGTATATAATGTAACACCGTATATGGAATATCACCCTGGTGGAGAAGATGAGTTAATGAAAGCTGCAGGAACTGATGGCACAGATTTATTTGATCAGGTAGCAACAGCGTAGTTCGTGTCCAATTTATCAAAATATTTTGCTGTACATTAAAGTGTTCTGTTCCCTGAAGAAGAAGAAACTGCTATTTTGTAATTTATCTTGTTAAAACATTACATTGTAAGAGATAATGATTAGTTTATAGCATAAACTCAAAGCACTGCAAAGGAAGTAGAAAACCAGTGTGGGTCACAATCTTTCTCTCTCCCTCTCCCTCTACACACACACCCATACACACACACACCCCTATCTGTGGAGAAATTCACCTCAGATAAAAGTGAATTTTGTGAACTGAAGTTCTCTTGAAAAAAAACAAAACAAAATGCACAGCGTAGTTAACATACAGTTAGTTTCGAAGTAGTGGATTACGTATTTAGAGTTCATCTGAGGAGGAAATGCATTATTCCTTTACTTCGCTATCCCTGCTTTGAAATAGTGCATAGAATAGGCAATGTAGTACTGTAGTTCAGGAGCTACCTTTGTTTTTGTTCATTTAGCAACTTGGTACATTAGTGTTGCTTAATTTATGGAATTTAGTATATTTTTACGGTTGTTTAGAAGTACGTTATCATTAGTGAATAACTGTCAAATACAAGCTTGCTTTTTTCCTTGCAGGTTCATCGCTGGGTCAACTATGAATCAATGCTGAAAGAATGCTTGATTGGAAGAATAGCACTGAAACCTTTGGCTTCTCTGAAAGGTATACACTCTGCATTCCATACGGTGCGCTCAGTGGCCTCAGTCAAGAATTATGGAAGTAGTCATGTATAACATGTCTCAACAGCAGTAGCATCTGGCTGACCCTGTCTGGGCGTAGAAACTAAACTAGGTTAGTCACAAGGGAGTTTCAGATATATAGAATAGACTGGGAAATGGAAACAATATTCTGGAAGAAGACAGCGGCAAGCCTGCTTCTGTGCTATTGCCAGGAAAACTGTATGGATATGTCTGTAGAGTTACTAGGAGGTGAAGTTGACTGGAGGATGTTTTTACTTTTTAGTTTAAACTATATAGAGGAGACCAGGTTGCTTATCTCTGATGAAGAAGATTACATGATGTTAAGTTTAAATATAAGGATCAACATACATAAACACTCCAAGATATTATTTGGAAGGCATGCCGTTTTCTACTCTGTAGTGGATTTTTTTAAACGCTGGCCAGGAATATATGGTGATTTGTGTTCAAGGTATTGCTACTCTTACCCACAAGGTAATCAAGTAATTGGCAGAAATTTGCTAGAGGTAAAACATAACATGCTTCATTGAGAAAAATACTGCTGCTAAATAACTATGTGTACATTAACCTCAATTTATGCAGTGTATTACTATTTTGCTGTATATTATAGTTTAATATTTTTCCTATGAAACTATTCAGATTATTTCATGCCTGCAATCTGATTTATTTCTGGTAATGGATTAATCTAGTGTATGCTAATTTTGCATTCCACTAGATTTTCATTTTTTATGATAAACCCTAAATTACTTATAATAGATAATCTAACATGCATTATAAAACAGCAATGCAATGATAAAGTTGCAGTTAATCAAGTCAAAGCTTTTAAAAGATAAAAATGTTTTTTTGCTGTTTAGAATGGAGAAGGATATTGTTAGGGATGAAGTTCTGCAGTATTACTATAACTTTTGGAAAAGTATGAGTTTCTTCAGTGATAATTCATCTTTATACAATTAGCATATTATGCATGGGCTTACTATGTGTTCCTTTATTATATTGGGAAGCCATGACTTGCTGATTCCTAGGGAGAATATGGAAAGCGAAAAAATCTCCATGTCTCTGACTTTTTCGTGTAGCAACTGTGAAGTGATCTTTGCAGAAGTGCATCACTCTACCTTAACCCAGCAAAGAACTGAGTTGTGTCTACACTACCTCAGTTGGTCGCTGTGGCTCAGCAAAGAAAAAATAAGGACAGATTCCACAGTGCACATAAGTATGGGTGCATATGTACAATGTGTTCTGTGCCTCAAAATCAACTTTCTGAGTAATCCCATACGGTTTCATATAGCTGAAGCATAAATTTGTGTGTGTTGCTGCCAATTCCATGTCTTAGTGTTTATAACAGTTCACTTCAAATTAATTGCATGAGTCCTAGATTTTCTAGCAGAGTGAATGGTTCTGAAATACTTCTTGCATATCTGTATGAACAGTTGTTTAACTTGCAACATTTGAACAGAGCAGAGGAGGGTTTTGCTGGCTTAAGATATTTAATTTTTGTTGTTTCATAATTATATAATATTATATAAAATTAGGAACTTTTTTGGCCTCAAACTCTCAATATAGTAGTAATCAGAAAAAAATGTGTATGAGGTTTATATATCTTATCCCGTGATAAGTGTTCATACTGTCAACATCTTTGTCTTCTTTAAATTTGATTGGCTAATCAACTTATAGAAACCTCCTAGACTGAATGTTATTGTTGTATGTAGCTTACGCTCTTTGGATAGTGCAGTATCTATATGCTAACCTAGCAGAATAATTGTCTAGTTGCATCCGAGCCACGATCATGACTTGGTGAACTTCAAGAACAACACAAACAGCTTGAAACAAACCAGCTTTGTCCAACTTTTATGTGATTAAAATAACAACTAGGGACTAGGCTTCCTAGACAATTCTCAAGTTGTGAGTGATTATAGGGGGTTTTTTTTCAGCTGTTGGCTGCTTTTCCCTTTAATTGTTTTGCTTTGCATCTGGTCTTTGCTCCAAAGCAGTTCTGTGCAATCTTGCCTTTATGCCTACTAGTCATCCTATACTGTACAGTATCCTGTACTGTAGGATGTTTGAAAGTGTGATCATTTTTGTTTTATTCTCAATTTGTGCTGCTTGTAACGTCATTTCAAACGCTTAGATTGAATAAGGAACATGTCTTGATTTATATCTTTAAAGTAGCTGTGCAAACAGTTTAAATATTTGTAATTAGCTTGGATTAATAACCTGATATTTTGTGAAATAACAGCTTATACGATTAACTTTTTTAAAAAGTGCATATTGAATTATTTTTCATACCTGAAAATCAGGTTTCCTCATTTGGCTGTTCCATCCCTAAATCTGAGAAAAAATATTAGGAATTATAAGCATGGTACAGTAGCTTTCAGAAAAATAAATAAATTACATAAATCTGTGACTTTGGATGCCGTATTATCTGCTAGGAGGAATTAGTGCGTTCCACACTGGTCAACACTAGTGTTCTCAAAATTTACCAATATTTTAAAAGGTGGTTTTTATGCTGAGATTTTTTTTTTTTAGTGGTTGAAAAGCATAGCTCTGAAGTCCATCTGGGGGTATGAAGTTAGTTAAGTAAGCTATTTGGTTTATAGCTATTAGTAAGGTTGCTTTAGACTAAATAGTTATTAGAGAGTTTTTTGTCTTAGATGTTTACATTTTTAAATATTTTTTATATACACACACACACACACACACACACACACACACAAACAGACCCAATAGATATCTAGCACATAAAAGACTCAGTTGTTATAATTTTACAAGACAGGAAAGAATAACTTCATGTCGATTTGTTATTTGTTATGTTTATATTGTGCTGTTCAGGAACTCAGAGCATCCTATATAGTTCTCTCTCCTCCCATATTTTGCTGTTATTTTTGTTCGAAATTAGATAGAAACATCCTTTAGTCCTTTGATCCTAAAAAGTTTGCAGCTTTTGAAGCATTCATGAAACGTGGCAGATTCTAAGGCAGGGATGCATCGCTTCTGACACTCATAGGCTGTACTGGGGTTTATGTGGTATATAGTCAACCCAAATTTGACAGACTGCTTTTTAGTTGTTTTTTTTTACTTTAGTTTTTTTTTAATAATATTTTTCTTTACTTATTGGTAATAGAAAATATAAAATGCTGCAGCTTTAAAAAAAAATCATTAGAGGGTGCTGTGGCACTGAGACACTTTCTTCCAGTGTTACAGCTCCCTCTGTTGATAAAAAAGACTGCACTTCATTTTCTTCAAGAGACAGAAGAACTCTATGAAAAAGGAAGTCACCAGAGTAGATGTGGTTGAACATTTTAATCCTGTTTTTGCTTATTTTGGGGGGAGATTAAAGAGATGAATTGGTGGCTTTAGCCCTGGGGAATTTGGATTTGTTGGAGGATAGTTCCAATGGCGCAAGGCTTTGTAAGGCTGCACTCCTCCTCAGAGCCACCCATCCCTCAAATGATGAAAAGTCCATATATTTTGGCTTCATCTACTCTGAAAGGGGCTCTTAGGGGCTTCCAAAAGGGTGCTGTGACCCACGGCACGTGTGGTTCATGAAATGTATATTTTTGCACCCCTATCCTGTTGATATTTCTTGTGATGGTTGCTGCAGTGCGGCAAACTGTCTATGAATACTGCTTCATCTTAGCCACCAGACAGTGTTTCTGCACCATCACAGATACCATATAGGGGCACAGAGTAAATCATTAAGACTTTTCCATTACTGTAACATAAGATGTTAATGCAGTTCAGTTTGCTATCATGATTTTTGCATCCTCCAGTAGATGTCAGGTATGTTCGTCATTAGCTAAATGGCATCCTACTAGTATACTTTTTATGGGCATGAACACTACTCACACTTCATGTACTTAAAATGATTGCATTTGTCAAGAAAGTACATATAGTTGGAAATAGCTTTCTCTTCAGTTTGCTCACATTTCTTAGGGCTGATATTTCGTGTGCTTAATATTCAACTCTTGGTTATTTTTTCTTGAGTAAGGCTTTTGTTTTTTTGTTTTTTTTGCCCAGAATGTTTGCACATAGTATCATAATGGGGGAGGTTTTCTCTACTGTGATCACTACAGTATTTTTTTGCATACTTTACAGAAATTTGTCCCCCTGTAACTGAAGAAAACAGGACCTTGAATGGTAAGTATGATCACATCCCACCTCATTTTTTTCAAACAATACAGAAAAGGAGGTATACATTCATCTATGGGAGCAGCCAAATCTTATACTAGATTTCCTAATGAAATGCCATGCCATCTATCTCCAGTCCACTATCTTAATCTTTTCCACCAGCTGGGCAGCAATATTCCATAGGTAAAAAGATGTATAACAAATGGGTACTTGAAGTACAATTAAAAGCATCAGATAACTTGAGAAAGAGAGCAAGCCTCATGCTTCGTAGGAAGTAAAATATTCCTATGCAGGGCAAGCTACTGTATATAAACAGGGAGCAAACCCCACACTCATGCTGATGATGCTACCTAGTTGGGTAATGAAACATCTGCAAGCAAACAACCAAGCTCAGAGAG